ATTGCAAATTCCGGAAAAATTTGCACATTTTCAGCAAGCGTTCCCAACACGAGCAAGGCCACTTGCTGTAGAGGGAAGTCTTGCGAAAAATTGTGACTAAGCTTCACAGACAATATTCAGTGCTGCTAGTTAGAATATTGAGTCTGAATTTGTTTCTGATTCAAAAGAATTTGGTTCTGAGTTATTTCTTCACCTGGGATTGCTTTCTTATGAACTGTGTGATTTGATAAACATTCTTTTTCATATTTTCATCGTTTATTAAGTTTAGGTAGAACGTTGTCAAGTATTCGCTTTTCCGAAGGATTTCAGAATGGGACTTAGTCAACGGGTTAGAAAAAGAAAAACTTTTACGAATAAGACTATATAGCGGGTTGATATTTGAGCATCGTTGTGCTGCACTTAAGCTGGAATATTTCCAGTAGAGATTATTATACGAACAGCGAATATTTACAATCAAATTTTGCACCCTACAGTGGCTTTCGAGGTACTCCAGCTGTCTAATATCTCGCGGAATCTTCCTCCAATCCACATAATTGGTCGTAAAAAATCTCGTCAACCCCAACATCGCTGTTCTTCTTTTTTAGGACGCATAAATTACATGAAATTGCGTCGATGGATTCGTGGATAATCCAATGTCATCGCCTCATAAATGTTAGCATCTGTTGAACATAAGCTTCTTGTCGTTATAAAATAACTGAAAATTTTACTTCATCGTTTGCGGGCAATCGAAATCCTATTAGTGGCCTACGAAAAATTCCTTTAAAGCTCGAGATTTCCCTAGAGAAAAATGTTAAGCGATAATTGGAGGCCTCGCGATGCCTAAGGATATGTCGCCGATAATCTGTCGATAATTTTTAAATGATCGCGGATTTTTTCAGTATCTCGCTGAACAAATTACTTTTTAAAATATACGTAGTGCTTTACTGAAACAAAAGAAAAAAATAAGCGTCCCTTCAGAGCCATTTGTTTTATTTCTTGATCGATGTCTGCGTTTATTAAATTGCGTAACTCGACGACATTCATCACAGTGCTACAAAACAACGGGAAACTTCATCCTTAATTAAGGTTTCCAGTGCAGTAATGGAGTAGTTGTCGTTAGAACGTTCAAAGAATAATTGTGCTTATTAAAATGAATTTTTTTGGTTTTATGTAATGTTATCCTAGCTTGTTCTACCAGTCACTCCGTCTGAGTGCTTTCTCCCGCTAAATGACCAGAGGATTTTCCTTAAAATTATATCTCTGTTTCTTGATCGTTCTCCATGCCCGTTTTTTCTGCTGCTAATATTCTAGACTTTTATGTTGCACTGATGCTTATGCTGATATTTTCATCAGAGTTGTTTTCATTTTAACGATCTGTACCTCCATTCTAAGAGTTATTACCAGTGGCGTGATCAGGCCTCTTATTCTAAGAGCTGTCACCAGTGACGTGATCAAGGCTCTTATTCTAAGAGCTGTCACCAGTGACGTGATCAAGTAGAGTTGATTAGCGTGGAGATGTGCAGAGTTGATTAGCGTGGAGATGTGCAGAGTTGATCAGCGTTTTTATCATTGGCTGCGTTTGGTGATTGCTTGTATGTTGTATTCCATTGAACAAATCAAAGGCTTAATTAAGAAGAGGCGCGTTTCATGGAAAATTTCATTCCTATTACATTGTGCGTTAATATAATTAGATGAATGATTCCTTAGATTAATTTGTGAATTAAATAATATAGTAATATTTTTGGAGATTGATTAGAAAATGACATTTAACAACTGGTATGAGAGAATTTGAAGACTTTTTTGGTCATTAATTCAACATATAGAGCTGTTTCAAATATTGCACTGGTAATGTAGTAGAGTCGATCAGTTAATATAATTATAAACATGGGACTCCAGCAAATGGGACTCCAGGGCCTATACTTTCAAAAAAAGTTAAGAGATCGTAAGTTCATCAGCCAATCATTGACGGCCTTTCGAGCAAAATCCACCAATCATAGACAAGAAAATAGAGCGTAAGTACTTACGTTCACTTAGCCAATTTTGAAAGTATGACCCCAGAAGTATAAAAATGCGTGTTGTTTTTGATGTAATAAATGTAAGAGGTCTAGCAGAGTCCCGTACTTCGAGGAACAATGTATCGTGTACAGAATATATGTACACGAATATGAATATGTTAGTGTCTCGTGAGGTCAACGTTCCCCGGCAGTCATTCCTATAATAGTTTCTGGAATAGCAGAAATTAGGAATCTCATAATAGCCCTGAATGGGAATCATATAATAGCTGTGAATAGGAGCTATGTTTCATGCATTAAATATGAATCTTAGAATAGCATTGATTGAAAATTATATAACAGCATTAATTTTAAATTTTACTATAGCATTAAATGCGGACGAAGTAATATCATTACATAGGAATAATAGATTGACATTAAATAGGAATCAGTTCAATCTCGCCGGCGATGCTGGGTTTTCAGGAAAGTCGCTGCCGTGTTTTGCGACCTTTGCTTGCTGCGTGCACTGATATTTTTTAGTTGCATAAGAACGCGACAAGTTTTATGTCGAATTGTACTTAGTGCCAGTCCGGCAGCTGGTATTTCAATACCTTCGTATATCAAAGTATTAGGCTTTTATTGGGCTTCGGAGTCTGCTCTATTTATTTGCAAGCTTTGTTCCCTGTTTATGAAAGCATGATTTCAAGGCCTGCTCTTCTTATCGAATTTACAAGCCTGCTCTCTTCTTTTTTCAAGGTTTCAAGGACTGCTTTTTTCATTGTATTTCAAGGCCTGCTCTTTTTATCGAATTTACAAGCCTACTCTCTATATTTTTTCAAGGTTTCAAGGACTGCTTTTGTATTGTATTTCAAGGCCTGCTCTTTGTTTTTATTCAAAGGCCTGCTCTCTTTATTGTATTTCATTTCTTGCCCTTTTTATTGTATTCATAAGCATACTCTTTGTATTATATTTCATAGACTGCTTTTCTTATTTTTTAAGGCATGCCTTTTTTAAGCATTTAATTGCTCTATCTTCTTATATTGTATTTCAAAGTCTTTTTATTTGTGGCTTCTAACTTAGTTTTCAGCGGGAGTCATTTTTTGCCGCTTAGCGGAATGAGGGACACATTTCCAGCTTAGCCTGGCACTTAATTAGACTTTATGGTCAGTGTGGGGAGACAAATACTGAGCTCTATGGTCCCTTGAAACGCCTACACGTGTTCTGCACAAATAAGACAATTGAGCACCAAATTTATTCCAGTGCTGGCTGCTCGACTAACAAGCCGCCTGTCATGGCAGCAACACCGAAATTTATAAATTAATGGCAGTTTGTTGACGGGGACTGAACACTGGATGACGTTAAAGAAAAATATTCGATATTAATAGTTTTTAACTTATTTCTATCGCAGGGTTTAAACAAATTATTTTATTTCTATATGATTTAATTCATGCGTTAAAGAGTCCATGTAAATGACTTTATGTATAAATAAATTGAGCCAGGAGTAATCAGTACAGGTAACTTGCTTCATTTCGCAGACGTGCTTCACTTCAGTAGCTCGCTTCACTTCAATAACTTGCTTCACTTCAATAACTTGCTTCACTTCAGTAACTCGCTTCACTTCGGTAATTCGCTTCACTTCAGTAACTCGCTTCACTTCAGCAATTCGCTTCACTTCAGTAACTCGCTTCACTTCAGTAATTCGCTTCACTTCAGTAGTTCGCTTCACTTCAGCAACTCGCTTCACTTCAGTAACTTTCTTCACTTCAGTAACTCGCTTCACTTCAGTAACTCGCTTCACTCCAGTAATTCGCTTCACTTCAGTAACTCACTTCACTTCAGTAATTCGCTTCACTTCAGTAACTCGTTTCACTTCAGTAATTCGCTTCACTTCAGTAATTCGCTTCACTTCAGTAACTTGCTTCACTTCAGTAACTCGCTTCACTTCAGTAACTCGCTTCACTTCAGTAACTCGCTTCACTTCAGTAACTCCCTTTACTTCAGTAACTCTTTTCACTTCAGTAACTCACTTCACTTCAGTAACTTGCTTCACTTCAGTACCTCGCTTCACTTCAGTAACTTGCTTCACTTCAGTAACTCGCTTCACTTCAGTAACTTTCGTCCATATCTAATCTTAATTGCGGTTGGTGTTGTTAAATCTAAAAATATTTGATGAAATACAAATTTTATCAGACAATATCTTAGTAGCATAAAATGTGAAAACGAAGTGGTTTGCGCACAAAACAATATCGAAACATTCATTTGTTATCGTTGTTATTGCATCACATTCATTTATTGTCAATGAATAAAATGTGAATAAATCAATAATTTTTCGGTGTCGGGACGTTGCTGGTTTTGTTGCTTGTTGCTATACTTATCATAAACCCTCACTCAGATTCTTCATATTATAATAATTTTATGATGATAATATTATTGATAAAAAATAATATATTTACGATATTATTCATATTAATAAGTATTATAATGATAATAATTTTGGAGTTCAGAACTTTTCTATCAAATAACAGAGACCTGACATTGAATCTTACATACATTGCGCTCGAACTCCACGGAACTTGCGCATAAGATTCAATTTACTTTCTTCAGTAGCGGAGTGTTCTCACGCCCGCGACTTTCCTGAAAAACCTTCTCATTTCAAAGGAATGTAACTAAGTAATAATTTAATTACAAGGGTCATTTGACAGTTAATACTGATTTCATTTCCTTGTCTGTTTAGGAAAATAATCCCCAAATTTACCGACTAATATTGTATTGAGTTGAATTTTCTTTTTTTTTTTGGTCAAATGCCCACAATTTTAATATCAAAATTCAGGACTGTTGAAATAAAAAGCTCTGGAAGTTACAAGTTAGGTTTAAAACGTGGTAAAATCACTCACTAAATAGCGTGGGTAGTTTCAAGCTCACTTGGGCAGCGAAGAATGTACATGGGAACCGAGGACGCGTTTTAAGCTATCGCTTTACTTCACGCTTGGGTAGCTGGGCGACGAGTGGCTCGGCAGTCGGTGTGCAGAAGTGAAGGCAAGTGCACGGCGTCGCTCCTCAATGAATGGCCACTCCTCCTCCTAAGTGACTTGAGAGTGCTAGGCTCTTCTGCAGCTGTGCCCATAATGATTAAAATGACTTGGTTAATTTAAATCGAGTGAAAGAAAATATTATTTGTTAAAAACTGACATTAAAACTACGTTCTTTTGATGGGTTGAAATCTTCCTAACACTTCATAGTTAAAAAAAAATAATGAAAAATCGAGCGGTAAATGTGATGCGATATGTAGAGCATGGCTGAGAATTATTTCGTCATCGAAGTGTTCGTAGATCATTGGCCGACCATGCACTACACTGGCTGCAATGCAGTTTTAAAATAAAAGGACTCTGATGTGGACGTAATGTGTTTGAGTGAATAACTGGAACTTTGTATTAGACGAACAACGATGAAACTGAATATCACGTACGGCCAAAGGTAATTTGAAGTTACTTCAAAATTCAGCAAATGAGACATCACATTAAACAAATATCTTCGAAATTCTTAATTTTTTGAATTTGTAAAATTCATATGTAATAAGCCCAAATACACCGGAGCTGCACATATTTTTTTAAACAATAAAGTGCGGTGTTTTTTGAACTAATTCATATTTTCTCACGACTTTGCCTCGAAGTAGAGAGACTGACACACACCATAATGAAATATTGAAATAGAAATAGGGGTTTTTCACGCAAGATAGACGAAATAAAACGTAAAAGCGGCAACTTTAATACTACTTCTAACTGTGAAGTGCATCTGAAGCTGGAAGAGTGCAGCTGCTGTTGTTTGCACCCGGCGCGCTCAAGGCATCCTGCACTTTACCCGCACTTAAAGCGAACTACCTGTAAACATTGACCCTGTGTTATGTGCCCAGCGGGTCGTTGTAAATAAGAAACTTTGATAACTTATCTTTGTTGTTACGCTAGTAAATTTAGCTGATGTTAAGAGTGTTGTTATATGCATGTTAGTCGCTGTCTCATCGTAACTAAGGACACGTTTTCTAGTCTCATTGTAACTAAGGACTCGTTTAATAGTCTCATTGTAACCTGAGACACGTTTACTAGTTTCCTCATATGTAAGAGCACCTTGACTAGTTTCATCGGAAGTAATAGCTCGTTGACTCTAGCGCTACCGTTCGTGGAAACTTTTTTCGTGGACTTCGATTCTGAGGTGAGCAGAAATATGTTAAAATATATTTTTATTTTTTTAAGTCTTTTGAATAGAATTGCTTGACTGGCTATGATGTTATGTTGATGCTCGTGAAAGTAAGTTGAGGACGTAGCGTATAATTGATTGTTAAATTGATAGAATTACTACTTGATAGCATAACTACTACGAACGGCCTAGAACTAACCTGGAATAAAGATTGTGACGAAGAATGTGATTCAAACAACTAACTTCGCAATGCAAATGATTGAACTTGTTCGCTATAATGCATATAGCCATGCCGGTGTATTTCAAGGCTACGTATACTAAAATATTTATATTCTAATTTCAGCTGCACAGCAATTTGCCTCTTCATAACTCCACGGGACAAATAAACTCTGTGGAAAAACACGTGTATGTTCAAACAAAATTTTAAATATAATGTTATCGGAAAAAAATATTCGATCTCCTGAACAAAGAACTGGCAGGTACGACGACTTGTGCATTTGTACTTAATTGAGGAACTGAACAAACTAATGATCTGATAATTCAGTAATGATGAAAATGATTGGGTAAGACTCGACGTTATTCCTGGAATTCAAATTTCAAGAGTCATACATGTAAATCGTAAGTTATGTAGGGAAGACTATTATACTCGCGTAATTGTGTGCACGTAATGATCTCGAAAATGGTGAGGAATTCAGAATTATTCGGTGTCAATTTCATTATTATTTGATTATATAATGTCGCTTTATTTATGCGAATGATCTCAATAATTTATTATCATGTAAAATATAATTTTTTTAATTTACACACGTGCAGTTACAGTGAGATTGCTTTTGATCAGGATCATTTTGAAGTCAAACAATTATTCGGATGACTTAGGTAGATCAAAAAGTTAAATATTCGAAAGTAATTTTAATTTTTCTTCAAATTATAAATTTCTGTTTTTATACATATTGTTTTGCTAAAGAACTACGATGGTTTTAAATTGTAAACTTTTGATTGAGAGTGAGGTTTCAGAATTTTTTTATAAAAAAAATTTCGCTATCAAAAGACGTCGTCATTGATCCGACCCTTCGTAACACAATAACCCGAGAGGCCAATCGAACTCTGGCACAACCCTCTGGCCGCAACCCTTGTTCAATCTAAGTAAAGTTTGCAAAGCTGAATTAATGTTACACGCTTAAAATAAAGTGTATATATCGATTGCAGTTCCTGAGTCACGAACAAAGGTCAATAGATTGGAATAGAGCAAGACTTAGCTAGTTCAGAATGCCGTTATTGGTGTCAGGGATAAAAATGAGCCCATTTTACGAACAGTTACTAATGATAGCCTCAGGGCCTGCGGTGCTCTGAACTGCGTCAGAAATGCAGTAGCGTGGCAGGGAAGAGTTATGTTAATGTTTGGGATAATTGAAGCAATGGAAATTAGGGTCATGTGGCGGTAGCAATATCAATTTTATTACGCAAAACAGGCTTGCGTTGCGTCGGTGTCGGGTATAAGGAGGCTTAGCCAGATAGAAGGGATGAAAATAATGACCAGGATCACACAAAAGATAATTGTTCACATGGTTTGGGAGAGAATATTTTAATACTTTGCATAAAAAAAATCTTTAACCGAAGAATAAATTCAAAAGTGATATTGGTAGTATAGGTTCATCGTGATGGGACAGCCGCAAGCGGCATGAAAAAAATTTAAGGACTTTTAGCCAATTTTGATACTTTGCGTATTACAAAAAATTGACGGGAAGAATATCACCTTCCTGGAAATGCTTAGATTAACGTCTCTTATAGTCACCGAGGCTGGTCATACGTCGCGAGGTTGCAAGTCTTTCCCCACTTCGTCTTTTCTCACCAGCACTAAAATTATTTAGATTATTCATAATTCACAGGCTATATGGCTATGACTAAAATAATCAAATGAATGAACTGAAGTAGGCTAATAGTTTCAAGATTAAAGAGCAGTTATTGAAAATCTTGGGTTCAGTCTTCGCAACTGACAACAATCTTATTCACATCGAGATATTCTCAGTAACTTTTTATTGCTGAACTAAACCTTGCGGTAATCCTACTGTCGTTAACCTGCTCGATGGCTCGGCAGCGGCGAGATGGGATCGATTGTGTGTGGGCGCCGTTTTGACACGCTGGTCGGTCAAAGGATTACAAGATTTATCGTCCACGCTCTAAAGTGAGGGCAATGTTACTACGATAAAATTCATGTTTTAACGTACCTCTTCACGCAAAATTTTCGAGATTTTTAGATGACAAATTTTGAGCTCCAAGCTGCATTATAAATATTAAAAAAGGAAAGATTTAGAAATTTGATTGAGAAAATTATAATTATAATTTAATTTACTTAAAAATTATCAAGAACTCTCCCCAAAGTCTTGAATTTACAGGAATCTTTGGTTTTAGTAACTCGCTGCTCGTCCAATTTTGGTGTGTTGTGCAGTTGTGCTGTCGCCGCTGTCAAGAAAGTGGCAAGTTGGTGTGGCAAGACGAACTTTCGAGGGGAAGTTCTGACTTGTCTACAGGTGTCGGCGACCGAGACCAGAGAAAAGCGAGAGCTCATCTGTCGCTTGGTTTGCTCAAGGAGATTTGCTGTTGGGACCCGACGCAGAAATTCCATTGGTAGTTCACTTTTTTCAAGTGACACATACTTGATTCAAGCTTTACCCATCAAAAACTCAATTTTTCGGTGATTCATTGGTTGTATATTCACAATAAACTTGCTTTATGGCGTCAACAGCCCTCCGCTGAGGCTACATATCTCAAACAAGCTACTTTCATAAACTTGTAAATCTTCCTCATAATGAGTCCTTGATCTAATTTAAATTATATTAGATTCAAACCGTCGTGCCAAGCTTTTTATATCCGGCTTCACAATAATCCCTGAACAAAATAATAATAACTTCTATGAAACAACACAATTTGCACCAAAAACGTATGTATTAAACTTATGTAAACAAGTATTGTTTCTTCAAGTTTTCTTACTTGAGTGAAAGAGCAAGGCTATCAGGAAATTCTTGGAGCATCAATTGTGAATAACTACTGAGCTTCATACTTGACGAACTGCATGTCAAGCTGATCATGCTGATCGTGTGGTGTTCATAACTATGATTCTGTAACGAATGTTGCTTCATGGAAACCTGATTACTATTTCATCTAAAGATATCATCTTCTGTTGATTCAGAACTCAGCTCAATGCCTGCGTGTCAATATTGTCTGAATAAGATGCTTCAGAGTGACTGGATGCATCGAAGTGATGAACTGCTGAGTAATAAAGACTATTTATAGGAGTGTGTAAGTCTGTATAGTATATTCAAAACATTTATCGCACGCAAATCCTGATAGAGAATGACATTATTGTGAAACAATCCTAGTATTTAAACCTTTCTGATATTAGGCCACAATGATTATGCCAAATCCTTTATATTGCAGTCGCTGCTGGTAATACGGTAACCGATTAAATTCTCATCTGCTTTGACCCTCTAGGGCATGATTATTTATTTAGTGCTTCTTTAAAAAGTCTGACGTAAATTCAAGCATTGAATACTCTAGCGTTTACCTTTATGAATGCCTCTTAGCGTCGAAACCAAACAATGAAACTAAACCCGTTAAATTGAGGGCATTAATTCAGATGACGGAATGCAACAACAAAGACGGCCGTAGGGCAGAGGACCAAACTATGTCTCGAGGCTGAATATTTCTCTGATGACTATAGAAAGAAATTAGAAAGAGCGTTGAAGTCGTCTCTTGGCTGAATATTTCTCTAATGAGAAGAGAGAGAAGCTAGAAGGAGTGTTGAAGTCGCCTTGTGACTGAATATTTCTCTGATGAATAGAGAGAAATTAGAAAGAGTGTTGAGGTCGTCTCGTGGCTGAATATTTCTCTGATGAATAGAGAGAAAATTTCGAAAGAGCCTCCGAGGCATGAGCGAGCAGAGCCCATGAAAGCCATCGCTCCCTAACTCCGCTCGTAACCATAAAAGGCTTTCTGCTGAACGGCCCCCGAACTGAGCACGATCTCTTTCTCCTAATATAAAGTTAGAAATTAAAAGCCCTTCTCCCTCTGTCACAACGAGCTGCTGTCACAATGAAATATTATGAAGTGTTCCTCTGAAGAAAACTTGCGGGGGTAAAGAATGATACTTTGATGTTGCGACGGAATTTCTTAAGAGTCTTGCGTGTGTTGGTTTTAGGGCCGTGCAGTCTGTGATCCTAATGTTTTCTTACTTCGTCGAATAAATAGCGAATAATTTAATGTTCCTTAAATTGCATAATGTTAGACAGTTAATACTTATGTTCAATTAAGCCCATCTAAATATAAACAGTTAAATTCAGATTTTTATATAATTCATTTGCTGAAATATTGGCATCTACTGAATATTTGGATCACTTGTCAAGTCAGAAGAATTGACATCGGCTGCTATCAGTTTATAGAACCTGGGTTTGCGATTGAACACAGAACTGTAAAAAAGTAGCCGTAAATATTGTTTTGAGCACGGTTGCTAGTCTTGTTCTGAGCCCGGCCGCAAGTCTAGTTTAGTCGAGATTGTTCTCTGATATCGCCTGTTCCAGCGACTCCAGCTCTCACATAGTCCTGTCTCTGGCCTGGAGTTCCAGAACCGTTGCGGTCGTTGGACCGACGCTGCTAAGCTGGACACGGGGGGCAATTGGGGCCTGCTGAATTTATTCCAATGGTCTAAGTTCGGTCAGTCGACCTCGTCTTCGGGCTCCTCAATAGTTCTCTCTGAAAAACATTCCATGCCAACGGCGACTTGTGGGCTGGATTTCGTGTGTCGGAAGGTGAAGCGTCCATCGCCTGTGATTTACAGTATGAACTTGACTGTCTTTACTACCTCCATTCAAGTCTCAATTACTTCTCTGAGTCGTAGCAATCAACTAATTCTTTTAATTGCTACCTTGAAAGCTCATCAGGAAAGTGTTTCGGTGTCACCAAGAAGTCCGATGTTTTTTTTAATTTTCTAATGATTTGATGGATGCCATTAGATTATTTTT